TCTTAATTGTTCGACAAATTTCTATCGTTCGTGCAATAGGGCAGTTCATCCGAAAATTCTGAATTATAGTTGTGAAGCAAAGGAAATTACTCTGATTGTATGAAGCCAATGATGGAAATTTGAATTACACGTCATGCCTGTCATCTCTCTTAATCCCCAGATTTGCTAGCCAATATGTACATTAACAGCACGTGTTGCTAATGTGCCTTTATTTTTGCAGCAAGCTCCATCTCACAATATTTTTGTAGTACTCATTCACTTCCAGAAATAGTTTTACGGTATTGGTCCTCCACCATCATGCTGCAGAATAACTCAATTTTATTACCCATGTAAGTGAACTGAGACACCGTCCCAAACTATTGCCGTATTGCTCCATGGTCAACTGTGACGACATTTGTGAAAATCCTTCTCCAGTACGATAGAAGTTGATTATGAACAATGTCCTTATCAAGTCAGCTGTACCAGTATACATTTTTCACACTGTTCCACTTGTCCTCAATATCAAATAGCAGCCTTAGTTTGCAGCTATTTGCCATGACGTTTGCCAGCATGTCTACTATTCTTGATCTTCTTATAGTACCCAAAAGCATCAGATATGGAGCCACATGGAGCTTCAACATTTTCCAATAGACTGTCAGTAAGGAACCAAATAGCCTTGGTTGTTTTTACTGCACATTTTGTGCTTTAATTATAAATGAACGGCATCTGTATTGAACCACTTTAACAAAAGTTAAAGGAATGCTTTCTCGGAAGGCATAGGTAAACGGTTTGTATTCTCCTCTGGTTCCTTACCATGGATTCATAATGTTCCATCGGCTACAAGGATGCTGTATTACGTGAATTTGGATGGTTTCAATCCTATTCCCAGTAAAAGTGGGACAGTTCCTCGCACCTGCCACTGCACAAGACCAAATATTAACTTCTACTGTGCAAAAACATAGCCTTGCTTTGGGAATGGAAAAGCCAGAATCAAGCAGTGAGAAAAGTCCTTCTGAACCTGAGATTGTTAGAAGGTATTGGGACGTAACAGTGGAGAATTTACCCGTTACTTAATCATATTAGACTTGATTTGAAAGTGCAGTATTGTGATATTGTGTGACAGAAATTTTAAAATTTGAGTAATATTTAATTGTGGACACCTGATCTGAGCATAAAACATTCTATCATTCCCAGTTTTGCTCTGTTGCTCAGCAAACTATATCAGCCCAGTGCCAAATTTCATCAGGAGACAGCAACATATTTACAAGTGTAGTCATTTGTATCAAATGCATCTAACTGATTTCTGCCATTTCTGTTTGTACTGAATTGATAAATGTATGATAGCTATTGACCTCATTGAAAGATTACCAAACTTTTTTTTAAAATCAGTCGCTTCTAGAAACTCTGATCCCAAATCAAAAATTGTCATCTTTATCTGAGTTTCATGTGTTTGAATTCCATAGAACAAGAAAATTGAAGTCTTAAAGACACTTCTTTTGCTGACTTCACTCATGGCTCACTAAAGATCCGCGTCATTCATGTAGCAGTGAATCATAACAGCATAGGAAATATCCATAAAAACTGAAAGAACTGCAGATGTTGTAGAACAGGAACAAAAACAGAAGTTGCTGGAAGCTCAGCAGGTCTGGCAGCATCTGTGAAGAAAAAAAAATCAGAGTTAACATTTTGGGCCCAGTGACCCTTCCTCAGAACTAAGGGTCACCGGATCCGAAACGTTAATTCTGATTTTTTCCTTCACAAATCTGCCAGACCTGCTGAGCATCAAGCAACTTCTGTTTTTGCTGTGGGAAAAACCCATGTTCAGCTCTCCTTTTCTGTGTTGAAGTATTGACTGTATCTGACTTTGAAGTACTACACTTAGCTGAATTAATTGCAGATCTTTTAGTGGGAGAAGTTGCATTAGGAGTTTGAAAGCCACCAGGATCCCCTGCCTATTTTACTATTCCGTATGCATTGCAGACTGGATGAAGAAATGAAGACTTGTATATAAAGTCGCCAGACTGTAGGGATGCTCTCTCATTAGAGATGAATGCTGGGCCGTGGTTTAACTTGAGAGACACCATGCCTTAGGAGAGTGAGAGATTGAGAAGGCAAGTCCTTTATGGTAATCTCAGCTGGTGCGGGAATTGAACCCATGCTGCTAGTATTGCTGTATATCTCAAATCAGCCATCCAGCCAACTGAGGTAAAGGGTTATAGAGGATACTAAGTTGGAAGGCAGTAAATTGTATAGAGAAGAGATTTCAAAGGGACATAGTTTTGTTGACTCATTCAGTCTACAGCAGATGGAGTTCAAAATTAGGAAGCATTCAGGTATTCATTTTGGATCTGAGACGGATTAATTGATGGTAAAGAACTACGAGCAGGAGAGGAGCAATGGAGCTTAGGTATCCAGATTTCATAAAAGAAAAACTCGTGCACAGTCTCCAAAGGTTAAAGTAATATGCTTTCACCTCATGGGGGTTGGAATTGACGGTGACAACAAGATGTTTTGGTTATAGAGTCTTGGTCAGACCCAAAATGGGGTAATGTATTCAATATCAGATGTAGAACCGTTGGAAAGATACATTGCCTTGAAAGTAATGCAGCGTAGATTCATCAGAGTGATACCAGCACTAAATGAATTAAGTTACAAACAGGTTGCAAAAGCTTGTTTTATAATCCCATGAGTTTAAAAAATTGACGAGTGTTCTAGTTGTGGCTCTTTAAAAATGATCAAAGATTTCAGGAGAGTCATTAGAGAGCAACTACTTTCCTTGGAATGTAAGTTAGAAGTAAACCATTTATAAGTGAAAGCAAGAAGCAATTATTCCTAACAAAGAAATTGGAAATTTCTCCTCCCAAAAATCTGTGGATGTTGGGATAGTTTAAAAGAAAATGTAAGGATGTCAAGGGATAGAGCAAAGTTGGGAAATGGAGCTGAGGTGTTCATCAGTGATGATCTCCCTGAATGCAGAACAGGTTCAAAGAGCTGAATGACCAACACGCGTTCCTATGCCGCATGTCATCCAATTGTTTATTAACATACTGTCATGCATTACCCCATGTTGACTGTCCTACATTGGCTCTTGATCGACTGAAGTATTAATTTTGAGATGTTCATCCTTCTCTCAAATCCATACGTGGCCTCATCTCACTCTATCTCAGAATTACTTCACTCCTTTGAGATGTACCCACTCATCTAATTTTGAACTTCTCCACATCCTCCATATTAATGAATCCACCAGGATTGTTGTGTCTTCAACTGACTCGACCCTGAGCTCAGGAATTCCCTCCCTATACATCTCTAACTCATTCTTCTCTGGCAATATTTCTGAAACTGTACCTATTTGACCAAGATTTTGGTCTCTTGCTGTAATATCATTGTGCATTGTTCAGTTTTTGTTTGAAGCACTCCTGTCTTAAGATATTTTAACATATCTTAAGATATTAAGATATGTTAAAGTTGCTACATAAATGCATGTTGTTGTCATTGACTTGTGCATACTTATTCCTTAATAAAGAACAATTGGTAATATTTTGTTCTCGTGATTTGTCACTCTCTATCACAATTTAAGATTATTTTTGGATGAAATGGCGCATGGATGCAGTTAGTTTTTCTCTCTCATTAATCAACACTTTAAAAATCACTTCAACGCAGCTTATTATTGGGTATCAGTTTTATTTTATTTAACTGGGGTGTCTGAGCATGAAAAAAATCATTGATTTATTTTCACAGATGCTGCCTAACACTTGAGCATTGTAGCACTCCTACTTCTTTGACTGTCACCTGTAAGGTTAGGAATTATATGCTATGTAGTCCTAAGGCTCAGAAGAAGTTGAACTTCACATTGCAGCACTTCTGTTACATTGGGGCAAATTCATCAAAATCTGCATATCAATGAATTTCCATCCAATTTCATGTTCATTCACAAAACAGTTTGAATCAGCACATAAGTAGTTAGGAATGTTCAATTTGCAATAACAACTTGGCATTTATATTCATTCACGGGATGAGGATATCGCTGGCTAAGCCAGCATTTATTGCCCATTTCCAATTTCCCAGAGGGCAATTAAGAGTCAACCGCATTGTTGTGGATCTAAAGTCACATTTAGGTCAGACCAGGTAAGGATAGCAGTTTCCTCCCCTAAAGGACGTTAGTAACTAAATAGCACCCTCAACGTTTTAAAACTTACAAAGGACTTCACAGGAGCATAAAAGTTTGGTACTGAGCTGGGGATACAAGGGCAAGCAACCTTATACAGAGAGGGAGATTTTAAGGAGCAGTTTATATTGGGAATGGCAGGCAATGAGATTTAAGGAAGGAATTCCACAGCTAAAGGTACTTGAAGGCTCAGCTGCCAATGATAACCAAAAGAAATCTGAGATACATCTGCAAATCTATCTTTTGTGTTTGTTAATCTGAAGGGTTTGTCGACGCTGTGGAAAGACTTGAACATATGAATAGTGATTTTAAATAGGGTGTTATCCATTTGGCAGTTCAGATCAATGAGCGCAAGGAAGATGCACAAATAGGATTTGGGATGTGTTAGGATATGCTGTTGGACGAACTCACATTATGGAGGTAATAGGTTGGAGGCTGTCCAAGGGAGTATTGGAACTCAAGTCGAGAGATAGCAAAGACACAGTTGAGATTTTCAGCAGCAATTCAGCTGTATAGCATCAATTTATTTTATTTGCTCACGTGATAAGGGCATCACTGTCTGGACAATCTAATTGCCATGGAGATGATGGTGGTGAGCTGCCTTTTTGAACTGCCACAGTCTTTGGGACATAAGAATATCCTCAGTGCTGTTGGGAAAGGAGATCCAGAATTTTGATGCAGCAACAGTGAAAGAATGATATAGAAAGCAATATAGTTCCAAGTCAGGTTGGTTTGTGACTTGCAGGAGTGGTGTCCCTATCCATCTTCTGCCCTTGTCCTAGTAAGTGATGGAGGTTATGGGTTTGGAATGTCCTCTCAAAGAAGCCTTGGTGAGTTACTGCATTGTATCTTGGAGATGATGCACACTAGTGTCACTGTGCGCTGTGGAAGAGGTGCAAGTCAAGAGGGCTGTTTTGTTCTGGATGGTGTCCAGGTTCCAGAGCGTTACTGGAGCTGCACCCATCCAGACAAGTGTAAAGAATTCCAGCACTCTCTTGACTTGTTTCTCATCGATAATGGACAGATATTAGGGAGACAGAAGGTGAGTTATTTGCTGCAGAATTCCCAGCCTCGACCTGCCGTTGTAGCCAGTACAGCTTCTGGTCAATGGTAACCCCCAGGATGTTGATACTGAGGAGTTTTAGCGATGGTAATGTCATTAAATTTCAAGGAGTGATGGTTAGAGTTTATCTTGTTGGCAATGGTCTTTACCTTGCCACATAACCTAGATGTTGACCAGGTCTTGCTGCAAATCGACCACTAACTGCTTCAGTATCTTAGGAGTTGCAAATGGTAATGAACGCTGTGATGGGCAAACATCCCACTTCTGCATAATGATAGGGAGAAGGTAATTGATGAAACATTGGTGATAATAGAAACATATTTTCACCAAGATTGTTTGGCCTTCCCGGGCCATGTACCACGTGCAATCTCGGATATATTTGGACCAGTGAGCCAGTTGTCATTCCCTGCCTCACTGGAACTAACCTGCATAATCCTATGTCCAATTTTCCCTCCATACTGAAAAAGGTGGCTTCCAACTTTTAAAAATGTTTTCGGTGGCAGCATAGCTGAGATTGGAAACTTAGCATGTGTAAAGTAAAGGGGTATGGAATGCTGAAGTCTACCAGTGATGATATGTTACCATATTTGACCATATTATGACATTATTAATTGAAACAGTTTCAATGTGAAAATTTCTGAAGAAATGGTAATTTATAATGTAGATAGAAACTTTGAAAATTCCGAACTGTTAACTGTCAAAATAAGATGGCAAATTTGGCTTACTTTGTTGTATACTTGGACTTTATCAGCATTGTATCTAAAAGGCAAAATTAATTACTACATCACGATGGAACTTATTTTCGTGATGAGACTCCATGGAATGCACATGCAACACATAGTGCTTATCTTTATCCAGTCAATCTTCTGAACTACGTGTATTCCTTTTTTGTCTTCACTTTGAAAATCCAACTGCTACACTAATGTTTTTGTAGACTTTTAAACATGTTTAGAATGATGATGTCAATGATAATTTGAGTCACAACAAAAACACAGTTGCTGGAAAAGCTCAGCAGGTCTGGCAGCATCTGTGAAGGAAAATCGAGTTAACATTTTGGGTCCTGTGACCGTTCCTCGGAAGTGGACCCGAAACGTTAACTCTGTTTTGCCCTTCGCATCTGCAGTTCTTTCGGTTTCGATGATTTGAGTGCTGGTTACAGGCCACCTTACATTAGGGGCAAACTCTGGAATACCTACCATGATTGAACATGTCTGTCAAATTTAAATGATCATCTGAAGCAAATAACTTTTTTTTTAATCACTAGTGCCACTTTTGGTACAAGTTCACTAATGCGACCTAAAAATCAGGTTATGGTTAGCTACAAATGTTTCACAAATTGGTTGATGCAAAGTGTAGAACCCTCTAAAATGTTATGTTCCACACCTTTTCAGAATGGATACATCTGTTATTGAATGTTGGCATGCAATAAGTGCATACAGTATTTGTTTGCAGCATTCTGTTTCCAGCATTATGCAGGAAATGCATACTGCCTGATTTGCATGGTAGAACAGGTTTTTGCTTTAACTCCAGCTTTGAGGAGACGCCAATTTGCTCATTTGCCAGACTCTGTCTGAGAATATAGCCAGGTGAGTAAAGTTAATTGTCTTCTGTCACCTTGTATGTAAATAATTCTCAGCAGTTTGTCCATTTCTGGCCAACACAGTCACAATTTGCATAATGTACACCCATACATTCATCTGTGTAGTTCCTGTTGTTAAGGTCTTTGATTAAAAAGAAAAACATCAGTTTCACTCCCCTGCTTTAAATTGCTGCTACAGCACCATATGAGGTAGATCTACTCTGTTAGGTGAACATAAACACTCCCATAGCATTATTTCAGAGCAGAGCAGGGGAGTTCTCTTTATGACCTGGCCAAATTTATCCATCAACCAAGACAAATAAAATAAAAACCGAAAGAACTGTGGATGCTGTAAATCGGGAACAAAAACAAAGCTGCTGGAAAAGCTCAGCAGGTCTGGCAGCATCTGTTGCGGAGAAAACAGAGTTAACGTTTCGAGTCCGGTGACTCTTCCTCAGAACTGATGGTGGTTGGGAAAACGTCAGTTTATATGCAGAAAGTAGGAACGTGGGTGGGATAGGGAGTAAATTATAGGATAGAGCGCAAAGAGAGAGAAAGACAGTTGGACAGACAAAGGAGTTGCTAACGATCAGGCTGGGAGGGTGAATAGTTGTTAATGGGGACTGTTAGTGACTAACAACATGGGGTGTGTAATGGCAGGCGATGTGGTGACAAGGCCTGGTGTGTGGGGTGGGGGGCTGGGACATGGGAGAGTTTAGGCCCTAAAATTATTGAACTCAATATGGAGTCCGGAGGGCTGTAGGGTCCCTAAGCGGAAAATGAGGTGGTGTCCCTCCAGCTTGTGTTGGGCTTCAGTGGAACACTGCAGCAAGCCAGAGACAGAGATGTTGGTCAGGGAGCAGGGTGGTGCGTTGAAGTGGCAGGCGACAGGTAGTTCAGGGTCTTTTTTGCGAGCAGAACGTAGATGTTCTGCGAAGCGGTCACCAAGTCTACGCTTCGTTTCCCCAATGTAGAGGAGACCACATTGTGAGCAGCGAATGCAGTAGACTAGATTCTGGGAAGTGCAGGTGAAGTGATGTTCTAGTCATCATTATCTTTCTATTGCTGGAACATTACTGCGTGCAGTTTGTGTACCCTACATTGCAGGAACTGCACTTCAATTAGGTATCGGACTTTGGGACATCCTGAAGTCATGGAAAATACTGTATAAACGCACATTTGTTTTTCAAATATAGGGCAGATCTTAATCCGGTCTATCTTGTGTAACTGGCAAATGAGAGGGTGAATCTATAGTTCAATTAATGGAACTCACTGGAAGTAGTTTCCCACATGTTCTTTTGTTTGGAGTGTCGGATGCTGCAAAATAAGGACCAAATAAATCAAGATTTGCTTTAGCATGCCACTTTATCACATCATCCAGTCTTCTTGAAGTACCTCACATAATGAACTACCTCGAATGTAGCAATTGTTATGGAGTCAAATATTTGAAAGGAGCAGGAGCAGGAGAAGGAAGAATGAACATGAGGGTGCGATCGAAATGGATTTATCTGTTTGATTAGGTGAAGCCTGAGTCAATATTAGTGAAAATATGCCTCGACAAAGAAAGGAATTGCAATGGTATTTAATACAACCAGGACACCGTGAAAAATTCAATGAACTACTCCCAACAAATTTTGCAGTATGCATAGCTGCGAAAGGGTGAATGCAGGCTATTGATGATTTCAATCATCCTGAACTAATGTGCGTAGACCACGAGAAAGAGAATAACAAACTCACATTTCTTGTATAGAGTGGTTTCTTGTCACAGCATAGGGCCCTGGTAGGGGCCTTGTGAATTCAATCATGTACCTGAGATGGTAAGTAATAGAAGTTTGTTAGTAATATAAGTTTGAGCTGTGTAGCAGAGATCTGAGTCTCTGTGGACTTTGCTACAAGCTGGAATATGGGATAATAGAAACGTTACAACAAGTTTCAAACGCATCCATCTGGAAGCCACAAGGGAGGAACCAGGGTAGGATAACTTGTGTGAAAAATGTGAACGAGAAAAAACAAGAGAAAAGAGGATATTTTCAAGAATAAACCTCATGTAGAGTGTCATTGAAATGTGTATGCTGTAGAAGAAGGAACTGCAACAAGATCCAACTCTCAGTGTTCAAGTGTGGTGATTGAAATGCCCATTTGAATAAAATAACATTTGGACTGATTTAAGAAAATGAAGAAGACTAAGTTCTACAAAAGTAAGTTGGTTAGACATTGTGAGAGATTGCAAGATTTTTTGTTTATGAAATGAAGTGAGGAAGGCTAATGGTAAAGCCAAACTTCCATATTTCTTAATCAACAGTCATGTTAGATTTTAAAAAAAAAATTCATTTGTGAGATGTGCATGTCTCTGGCTGGCCAGCATTTTACTGCCCGTCCCTAGTTGCCTTTGAGAAGGTGGTGAGCTGCCTTCTTGAACCACTGCAGCCCACTTGCTATGGGGTAACCCACAATGCCCCCTAGGGAGGAAATTCCAGGATTTTGACCGAGTGACAGTGAAGGAACAGCAATATATTTCCAAGTCAGGATGATAAGTGGCTTGGAGAGGAACTTGAAGGTGGTGATATTCCCATTTATCTGCTGTCCTTCTAGATGGAAATGGTCATGGGTTCAGAAGGTTGCTGCCTGAGGATCTTTGGTGAATTTCTGCATTGCATCTTGTAAATAGTACACGCTGCTACAACTGAACATCAGTGGTGGAGGGAGTGAATGTTTATGGATGTAGTGCCAATCAAGCAGGCTGCTTTTTCCTGGATAGTGTCAAGCTTCTTCAGTGTTGTTGGTGCTGGACTCGTCCAGGCAAGTGGGCAGTATTCCGTCACACTCCTGACTTCTGACTTGTGCCTTGAAGATGATGGACAGGCTTTGGGGAGTCAGGAGGTGAGTTACTCGCAGCAGTATTCCTAACCTCTGACCTGCTCTAGTAGCCATTTTGTTTATGTGGTGAATCCAGTTGAGTTTCTGGTCAATGATAACCCCCAGAATGTTGACAGTGGGTCATTGTGATGATAATACCATTGAATGTCAAGGGATGGTGGTTTGATGGTCATAGCCTGGCAGTTGTATGATGTGAATGTTACTTATCACTTGTCAGCCTAAGCCTGGATATTGTCCAGATCCTGTTGCAATTGAACATGGGCTGCTTCAGTATCTGAGAAGTCACGAATGATGCTGAACATCGTGCAATCATGGGCAAACATCCCCACTTCTGACCTTATATTGGAGGGCAGGCCATTAATGAAACAGCTGAAGATAATTGGGCCTAGGACACTACCCTGAGGAACTCCTGCAGAGTTGTCCTGGAGTTGAGATGATTGACCTCCCACAACCACAACCATCTTCCTCTGTGTCAGGTATGACTTCAACCACCGAGATTTCGCCCCGATACCCATTGATTTCA